CCTCCAGTTTCATCCCTGTTGTTGCAAATGGCTCTTTCATCATATTTGAGAATGAATGGTAGGTTTACAAACATAAGCAATTGATTTTTTATGTATGTACTAATTTTGTAATCTTTTACATTTTTGAAATATTTTAGTGTTTCCAGTAGCTTCTCTGTTGATTCTCTTTTGTTTCCTTGATACATCTACAAATGGTTTTGCTCCTTACTTTACATGTTTTGACTTTTTTGGTCCAAGTAAATTGGTAGTTAATTCCAGAATATGTTTTAAAAAATGGTAGGCATTTTTGTTTTGTTTTTGAGTTTAATGAGAATATTTCTACTTTAAATATGATGCTGTGTTTGGCTTAAGATTGCTGTTGTTTGGCTTGAAATACATATTCTTTTAAATCTTGTTTTATTAAAAGCTTTAAGAAGTCAAGAATTGCTGTTGAATTTTGTTACCTGTATTTTCAACATCTATGGAGATAGACATTCTGTTTTTTTTCTCCTTTGACTTGTTAAACTAATAGTACTTGTATACTTTATAACCACCCTTGCATTTCTGGGCTTAGATGGGATAGTCTTCTCAAATTCTAAATAAAAATATTAGCAAAATGTTGATGAGTAATAATTGATTTATATCTGATTTGGAGGATGTTATCTTTCTCATGTTTTGGTATCACTCTTCTGCTGGCTTTGTAAAAAATAATTTGGAAGTTTTTTCTTCTATGCTGTAAAACAATTTAAATGGAATATGGCTCTCTGTTCTTGGAAAGTTTAGTAGAATTCTCCTATGAAACCAGTGAGGCCTGTGCCTGTTGAGAGGTAGCCTTTAGCAAATTTTTAACTTTCTTCTAGGGTTATTATTCTGATTAGGCATATTTAGTCTTAAAACTTGAATAAGTCTAAATAGAAATAAGCAAGACTCTGGTAGGACTGTTGTGTGGAAAGAGCTTGGGCTTTGAGGGCTGACCCTGTTTGAAACCTGGACCTCTCATTAAGAATAGTGTTTCATCTATAAGAGCGGGACTGATCTTTACCTCGAGGTTCTTCATGAGTATTGAAGAATTTAGTGTAGGGGCACCAGGATGGTGCAGTTGGTTAAGCATCTGCCTTCATAGTCCTGGGATTGAGCCCTGCATTGGGCTCTCTGCTCTTGATGGAGAGCCTGCTTCTCCCTCTCCATCCCCCTGCTTGGGCTCTGTATACGTGTGTGTGTCAAATACATAAAGAAAATCTCTAAAAAAATAAAAAACTCTAACATATAGGAGAGTGCCCTACTGTGTCTGTCTCAATGTTGATATTTAATGTGTGTTAGATTTAGGTCATCCTATTCTGTCCTGTTACTTCATCTTTTTTGGTAGCTTTATCGATCCTATTTGTTCATAGTCCTTCAGTTTGAAATACTCTTCACAGTAATCATCAGAATTTGATGACTTCACTAGGCATCACAACTTCATCTCAAAGTATGCACTCTCCATTGGTTTATGTGACTTGACCCCACAGAGCCTTCACTATATGCCCATGAGCCAGGGTCTCCCATTCACCTGGGTCTCATGTGGCAGAGAAGAAGAAATTACTTATTCTGAAAATCCTGCTAACATCTTTCAGTATGTGGTTTAAGTGCTCTTGGGTAGAGGGCAAGGTGTATAGACACTAGAACCACGTCTCTGTTGTTTCTTTTACTGGGAGTTGTTCCAGTATTATTCTCTTCTCATGGTCATGGGAAACTCCAATCTAAACAGAAAGTTATAGCTTAATTTTTTCCAGTGAAAATTCTGGATGCCCAGCTAGTGGGAAAACTAATACTGCCAGGGAATCTCAAATACTGCTTACAGACAGGGGGTGAGGGTTGATTGCTAGGGAATGAAGTGTGCTTCACATCTCAGTTGACATACTGAAAAATATTTTTCTATAGAAATAGTGTTCATTTGTATTCATATAAAGGCATCGGAGAGCCTAGTTTTTACCAGGCAATGTTAGACAGTGAAAATACAAAGATAATGAAAAACTTGCTTCTAGTCTTAAGATACTTACAGAATGATACAGAAGATAGATGTAAGCAGACAATAGCAGGATAATCTGATAAGAAATATGACAAGGTACTGTGGGTTTAGAGAAAGAAAAACCCATTAACTGCTGGGGGGCGGTTATGGGAGTTTTATATAAGAGGTGACATTTGAGCTGTGTTTGTATCTGAGAAGCATTTTACCAGGCAGAGGGAACAGCATATGCAAAACATGAGAGCGTGAACAAGGTGGGATTAGAAAAGGATAAGGTCAGTGTGACCCAAGGGTGGCATGAAAGAAAGACTTTTAACTGTACAATAGTCTAGCAACCAGTAGGTATTGGCTAGATGGATGAATAAAAGAATGAATATTAATATATACATCAGTAACTGTAATATATGACCTAAGGGAATGTAATTACTTTCCCCAAGGAAAGTGTATTCCAGATTTAAGCTTAAATAGTAATCTTGGAAACAGTCCTTGTTGCATCAGGTAAGATTTATTCTAAATCAAATACTGGTTTATCTTAGGGATTTTGCCTGCTGGCTAAGTTACACAAAGAACAGTATAGTTTCAGTCCTGGGAGTCACAAAATGTAATGACTCTCAGAAATGAAAAGCAAATGATCTAATCTAACACTTTCTATTCACCTGGATAGTTAGTGCTTATCCTTTTTTGCCATCTAGCGTAGATGAATTTCAAGTCAGCAGTCTCAAAAGTAGGGCTGTACACCCAGGAGAACACAAGGCTGTTTATTTTGGGTTATAGGAAGAAACCATTAACATTTCTATTTCTGTAACTATGCCAATTGTTTAATTCCTACCTTTGTGTGTAAGTTACACATATACACATATGCCCATACACATACATATGTGTACAAACATACACTATAAGCAGCACACACAAATATACAACATAGGCACTCACACATATATATACAAACACACAAATAAAAGGAGTTTACATGCTCCCTCCCTTTCTTCTCTTTCTAGTTTTTCCTGGTACATGTGATTACACGTGTTGGAGACCACCAATTCAAGCCATCATTGCAGAACGTTTTCAAAGGGATCTTAAAATATTTTAAAATTCTGTCTGGGTTTTAAAAATAGAATTTACCTCATTTAATACCATTTTAAAAGAAACACTTTTTCTTTTTATTTTAAGTTTTTATTTGAAAGCACACAAGCTGGGGAAGAGACAGAGGGAGAGGGAGAGGCCAGATTCCCCTCTGAGCAGGGGCTCGATGTGGGGCTCAATCCCAGGACCCTGAGATCACGGTCTGAGCCAAAGGCAGATGCTTAACCCCCTGAGCCATCCAGGTGCTCCAAAAGAAAGACTTTAATGAAATAAAAATAGATTGTAATTCATGTTTAATAATGAATGCACACTTATGGATAATTTAAATAGATTTTTCCAATGAGGTAGCTTTCAAAGAACAATCCATAGCATGTTTTCTCAGTGAGATGGTAATGATTCCATAAACACCTTTGCTGGACCCAACCCCCTATCTGATAACTTCCCTCCTAAATCAATTAAAAATCAGTATTGCAAAAACACAGTCAGCACAGTGCCTTGAGCACAGTGCCTTGCCCACCGCTTCCCTGGTGCTGTTATTTAGTGCAACACTGACATCTAGAGTTGGCTGGGGCTTATTTTTTCTGAGGTTTTCTGTTAAACCTTCTGCGCTGCATCTTCCATATTTTAGCTGTCGTATTCTTACTCTTTTCACTTTTTGTAAGTAGCATGATGTAAGTTATTTTGCATACCCTGACAGGAAAATGTGCACTGTACTGTTGCCAGTGGCAATACCAGAAGAAATAGTATTCGCTCCAAGATACTTTGCAAGACGGTTTTTCTTTTTTTAACTCAAATTTTGGTACTACCCTTCCTCCTTCTACCATCTGTCCCAGCTTAGTCTCACTGGCCCATCACTTCCACAACCATAAAGACAATTCTTCCACTCAGAAGAAAGGCATGTGGTATGACTTCTTCAGGATAGCAGTCATTATGTACCTCGTATGTCAAATGAAACAATAGGATATATGTTATGAAATTGGAAATTTTTAAAATGTTAGACTACTCAGAATTCTTCTGGCAAGTTAGGAAAGTTTTTCTCAGTTGTATTTTGTAAGGCTTTTAGTATTTTGGTAATTACTGTTAGTGAAAGTTTCAATGTACTGTGGTATCCTTCTTTGTAGAGAATTGTCTTTTCGTCTTTGTTTTTTTTAAAGCCTTGATGGGCATATGTATGTCCATTAACACTGCCATGACTTCTGGATTTGGATTTTCAGTGACTTAATTGAAAAGTAAAACATGTCTATGGTCTTTCGTAGTTGGGAAGTACTCTTCTGTTTTCATAAGTGTTGCCTTTATCCTGTAATAGTAAATAACAAGCCAAATTTAAGGTTGTATAACCAATGATGCCCCCTGCAAGCAACATATAAACTATTATGCCCTCTTGCATTCTGTGTCCTAAGTACCCTCTAATAATCTTAGAGGTCCAATAATTATTCTTCCTATACTTAGAGTAAGACATGGGAACTGAAAATTAATTTTCCTTTTTTTTAATTTTTTTATTATTATTTATTTATGATAGTCACAGAGAGAGAGAGAGAGAGAGAGAGAGAGAGAGAGAGAGAGAGAGAGGCAAGACACAGGCAGAGGGAGAAGCAGGCTCCATGCACCGGGAGCCCGATGTGGGATTCGATCCTGGGTCTCCAGGATCGCGCTCCGGGCCAAAGGCAGGCGCTAAACCGCTGCGCCACCCAGGGATCCCTTAATATATTTAATAAAATACAATAAAGGATGAAAAATGCTTTAAAAAGGAAAATTAGGGATCCCTGGGTGGCGCAGCGGTTTAGCGCCTGCCTTTGGCCCGGAGCGCGATCCTGGAGACCCGGGATCGAATCCCACATCGGGCTCCCGGTGCATGGAGCCTGCTTCTCCCTCTGCCTGTGTCTTGCCTCTCTCTCTCTCTCTCTCTCTGTGACTATCATAAATAAATAAAAAATTAAAAAAAAGAAAAGATTCCATTCATCGCATTTTTGTTGTCAATATTGTTGAAGCAAGGATTATTTGCCCTGTGGTGTTTTCCAGTCTAGGATTTGCTGATTCTATCCTCATAGGGTACAGTAACATATTCCTCTGTGCTCTGTTGAAAATTAATTTTCTTGTTGAGATGCTGTTGTGAGAGCCCTGGCTTACATTACAGTACTTCTAGACTTGCCTTCCGGACGCTTACCTTTGCCTGTTTGCATAAAAAGACGCTCCTGCCTCAATAAGGAAGGAATGAAGAGGCATTTACAATTATTCAGAGTGTTGTCTTAGGTAATTAGACCATTTCTTTGTGTATTTGTATACACACTGAGGTATGAAATGACCAGTTAGACTATACTCTCTCCTGAATGAAAATCCTTTTGAAAAGTTAGATTAAAAAAAAAAATACTTCAAATCAGACACTTGTTACATTTGTCCTCTTGGCAGCTGTTTAAGAGGAAAAATCTTTTGTATATAACTTCATTATTTTGGATACATTTTAAAATAAATCTGAGCAGTCTGATTGTGCCTCATGGAAACTGAGGATCTGTTCCACTAGCACTAAAACAGCATCTTGTTTAAAAAACCTGTTATATAGGACTTTAAAGAGACACTGCCGGATGCCTTATAGGTAATATAAATGCATTCTTCCTGCCTCTCCAACCCCAAAGACTGATAAAATACTTGATTTTTATTTTCATTAGCTCATCTTGTCTAATGTGAATTTATTTCTGCCTTATTAGCAATAAGTCATGTTTTCTGTATAATTTGGCCCACAAGCATTTGCATCATTTACTTATTGCCCATGACTACATGCAAGGTACTATACAAGGGAATTTTAATTCACAAAAGCATCCTTGTCTGAATTGAAAACATTGCCTGTATCCAATGAGTTCCTGAAAGATTCCATGTCACCAAGATGTCAGCCTGGTCTCTATTTAATACTGTATCAGATATCCTTTTTTACATATTTATCAAAACAGATTCTATATAAAAATGCATTATTTATGAAAGTCCTTCCTCTTTCAGACTCCCCTATAGAAAACATGATTATTGATGGCTTTTGGCAGCTTAGCTTTTTCAGTCAAATATGCTTTGTATCTGCACTACATCTTTTTGATATTGTACACTTACAGGTTGTTGTTTCCATGTGTCTCTTACTGTATAGTTCCTGAGCAATATCCTGAAAAATACGTCGAGCACTCTTCTTCTGTAAACACAAATGAGAAAAAATGCCTTGTCTCTCTTAGGACTAGAAGAGATGATTATTATATTATCATCCGAGCTTTTTCTTTCTTTACCACCACCAGTCTGAGAAACTATCCCCGCAACCCCCAACCCCTCCAACACATCTACACTCACCATTAACTCTTGTATTCCCTGCATGTTAGGTAAGGTTTATGGTTGAGAATGATCAAATTTAAATCATAGTTTACCACTTGAGATTATCCTTGAGTTTCTCAGTAATAAGAGAAGCTATCTTTGGTTGAAAGTTACCATAATGTTCTCTGTATTTTTAAAAATTATTTAGAGTTTGAAGTAATTACAACCAGCCACCATTTAAAAGGTATCTTGCAAGCATTGCTCTGTACCTTTCGTGAATCTTCCGTTTCTTTGTTTCTTAAAGAATTAGATTTTGACTGTCAAGAAGAAAAGGAAGGTCTTAAAATAGGCATTTTTTGCACTCAAAACATTGGCAGATATCTTATACACTATTAAGATTAAACTAAACACTTAAATGGTATACAGTGAGAGTTAATTTCTATGTCATTTCTGAGATGTTTTATTACATTAATAAAATAATTCATATTGGTGTTGATTATAGGCTTTGTAATAATCCTAATATAGCACATATGTACCCCTCTTATAGCCTATGAACAGCCAGAAGATATTCCTTCTAAAAAACTTCAGGCATTTTAAAAAATTTTTAAGGCAGTTTTCAGTGTCTTTGTTTACCCCTTTTTGGTCTTTTATAGATAACAGTAATGCTTCCCAGAGGAAAGATCGCATATAAGCTAGTTATAAAGAAGGATCTCTTATTCTCGTATTACTGGTTTTAAAGAGAAAACATTGCAAGTTGTGTACTCTGGTTGGTAATAACTTCAGTGATGAGAATTTACACTCCCACAGACCACTCCTGCAGGTGGTGTTTCCTGCAGATGTACAGGAGGATGTTAATTAGGTGAGCTATTTCTGAGGCTCACGTGTGGAGAGATGGAAATTATTTCCTTGTGATAATATTCAAGGCTGTAGGGACATCTAGTGCAAGGAAATGTGACTTACTTTGGAGAGGACTACGAAGATCACGAGTGCACCGGTAATGTAGATGGAGAGCAGTGATAGAACAGCTATCAGGAGACTGTGCAGTTCCTTCCTTTCTTTGTTAATTACAAAAACAGAAAGAACCACAGTCACTATGGAAACATATTATTGCAAATACATGTATAAAAAGTATAACTGGAGTTACTCTATAGTAGAGGTCAAACATGAACTGCTCTGCTTGTCTATTACTGTCAGAATTTATTCAGGGTCTCTTGATTCAATAGACACTCAAGTATATGATATAATTAAATCCGGTTCATCAGTTCTTTAAATGTGTTAAAATTCAAAACTGTTACTCATTTTGAAAACTAAAAAAATTTTAAATCCAATTAATTACTTGTCATTATGTTAAGAATCACTTTTTATATAACATTATTTGAAGTCATATAAACATTTTAGGACAGTTTGTTCAAGGGCATTTAAAATTTCTTTTGGTAGAAATGATGTACAGGGGTCACTAACAGTCTGTTCGTGGAGTTAAGATGTTTTTGCAACGTATCTGTTAATGCCGACATGTATAACTGAACTGTTTAGTATACACAGCTGAATAGTGGAGTCTGTACAAGGATCTGAGGAGACATGAGTTGAGGATCCTAGGGCTTAATACACCTTTTAAAAGACAGGCACATGTGCCCCTTCTTTCTAATAAAATTTTGGAAGTAGAACTATTGAATCCATTTTCAAGTTCTGAATTTCTCCCTCCCTCTTCTCTTCAATTACCGGATTATTTGAAGCAGAAAATACAATTGGATTTGTAATTATTATCTGAGCAACTTGTACTTTTCAACTAAATATCCCGTAGGTGCTTATTCTGTGAACTGTTTGTACAGCATACATTTTTGTAATAAATTAACCATATTGTAATTTTTTTTAAAGTTTCTTTCTTTTTTTTTTTTTAAATTTTTTTTTATTTATTTATGATAGTCACAGAGAGAGAGAGGCAGAGACACAGGCAGAGGGAGAAGCAGGCTCCATGCACCGGGAGCCCGACATGGGATTCGATCCCGGGTCTCCAGGATCACGCCCTGGGCCAAAGGCAGGCGCCAAACCGCTGCGCCACCCAGGGATCCTTTTTTAAAGTTTCAAGTACTAAATTAGAAGCTCTTGTAGAAAAAGGTGCAGGAAATTGCTGTGTCTTAGTAATACTTTATTTCGTCACTTGGAGAAGAATCTCTCTTCACATAAACTTTGCAGTTTTGAGACTTTTCATCTCTTTACAAACTACTTTCAGTTTTGGCTAACGTTTTTTATAGAAGACTAATGTAGTGAGATATACAAGTCTCTAAAGTTGTTGTTGTGTATGTTTTAATATCTGTAGCTGATATTTCTTGAGTACTTGCTATATAAGCTGGGTATCATCAAGTGCTTTATGTGTATTAACTCATTTATAATTTATCTTCTAGGTGAGAATAAACTAAGGTTAATGACAGTGGAATACCAAAAGCCCATTAGAACACCCCTAGTCATTAAAAGCAGGGATTGTACGGAATGATCTCAGGTCCCTAAAGTCCTATTTTATTTTTTTTTATTTTTTATTTTTTATTTTTTTTTTAAAGTCCTCTTTTAAACCCATAGGGCTGGTTGATTTTGATGTTTTAATGATTTCAGTGCTCATCGTACCAGAGTCCTTTTTAAGGGAAGAGATCCAAAAAAGTCAAGGATTTATTTCCCTTCTCTTCTTTCCCCCGGAATCACAGGAAGCTTTTTCCTGAAATTTCTTGATTTTTTAATTTGTGGGATATAGCCAGGTTCAATACCCTCACTTGAATGAGGAAATTGTTTTAGCAAATCTCAAGAAGCTAGAGTCATACTGATCCCTTTCTGTTCTTCTCTCCATGCAGAATGGGTGGGGTCAGAGGTCTCCAAATGCCTTCTCAAATTTGTGTTTATTCTCCATATTGCATTTCCCCCCTAGCTCCAATTTATTGGTCACTTATGCTTTGTTCTAGATGGTGCAATGCCAGCCTAATTGCTGAACAAGCTGCTCAATAATCATCCTAAATTTGCCTTTGGACTTGGCACATTACCAGTCACTGTCATTCACAAAAGGAGGACCTGTTGGCCAGCCTGCACTAGCAGGGTCTGGACACACAGAGAGAGAGAGAACCCTGACTTTGTGTTTGTGGAGCCTGGGAGACAGGATTGGAGTAGTGCTTCAATCTAGACTTTGTGGCAGCTTGTGTCAGCTCGCACCCTTCACTAGCTAGGGTATTGAGTTAGCATATCTGTCTCTTAATCTCTGCATATAAGTAATGTGATGCATTTAAAGGGCTGAGTGAAGCCTCAGCTGACTGACCTCTTACAACCAATGTGGTCCCTTCTCCGGTCTGCTTCGCTCCGGGTTCCTTTGAATTGGGAAAGATGATCCCACAGATATAGATTGCACTGTCATTCAACATCACCCTGTTTACAGTGAGGGTGACTTGGTTTTCTGTCAGGGCTTCTTTCACTGTGAATTTGCCCGCATTGTTTTTGCATCTATCCAAGCATAGGTTCTCAGGCTGGTCTACACCATAGCGAAACCACAGGCTTTTTGGTTGCTGTGAAGGGCACCCCATGTGGGTGAAGGAACACTGAATGGTTGCAGCCTCTTGATTATAATCCACTTCAAGGTAAGGTGGTTGTGAGACAGAGACTCTGCAGCCACGTGCAGCACCTGTGGGAGAAGCACACGAGCCATTTAGTGAGCTTCTTGTTTCCCTTTGCCTCTGCTCCCTTAACTGACATTTTGGGACTAGGGAACTCAGATTCCTTTCTTTTTCTTAACTCTTTCTCAGCACAAGCAAGACTGTAGTAGTAAGATACCAGCGGCCCCCACATTCCCTCACCTTAACCTGCTATTTGCTTTGACGTCTGATGACTCGAGGACAGAGAGGTTCTAGTGGAGTCAGTGTTATGGGCAGAGGTGGCAGCAGATCTGGAGTCGGGAATTTGGGGTTCCCATGTTGACTCTTAGTGTCCTTACAGGCTTTCCTTTGATCTCCGAGCGTGTTTCCTCATCTGTTTCCCTGGCCCCACAAGAGTGTTGCAGTCGATGTAGTAATGGGTATTAAAGCCCCTCATGTGAGTGCATGAGTGAAGGGATTTTTTTTTTTTTTAATTTGGCCTTGTGGGGGTTGGAATTGCTAGGAATTCATGGCAATGCACAATTACTCTTTTGTAAGCCTGATTGTCCCTACGGGAAACATAAAAGACAAGGTGCACACCTGGGGAAATACAGCCCTGGCTTCGCCTCCAGCATATTTGGTTACCAAGTGGAGGCCTAATGAGTTAGCTGTGCCACAGCTAAGCAGATTTGATTTCTTCCTGGTACCAGCACACTGCTCTGTAGTCCCTTGTAGCTTCTATCTTCTTTGATGAACAATGTTGTGATAAGGAGCACAGACTTGACTTCGGATGCTAGCTCTGAAGCAAGTGGTGTGTAGCAAAGTGGGGACAGTATATGCAGCTCGTGGAGTTAGTGGATGGTTTAAGTGAGACCATCCATGCATAAGGAATGTTTACTTGGCTAAGCCTTAATAAGAATTTAATAAGAGGTAGCTATGTCTGCTGCTGTGCCTGTCACCACTTCTCCTCTTCCCATGGTGTCAGCCACCCATATCAGGGATAATTGTGGGTGTCTCAGCAGGTGTTCGCAGGTTCGGGATTAGACACCCAGTCTGGTGCTCTCTCTGCTGCGTGCTTCCTCTGCTCTAGGCCAGCTAGGTCCCCACCTTGGCCTTCTTTCTGATCCCAGGCCTGTGCCACTCTGGTGTTTATAAATGGGAAGATCTTCCCTAAACCCTTTTAGGGACAAGGGAGAGCCTATGTAAAATAGTATTGGTTGAGACAGATTAGAATTTAAGCTAGTTTTTAGTCTGACTTCTGCTGGTCATGTGTTCCAAATGGTCTTACTCGTCTGAGTTTGTCCTTTGCTGCTGTAAATGAAACTGAAAAGTAACCCAAGTGACCTGATGCTTGAGTTTCAGATAGGGGTTTTTGTTGTTGTTTTTGACTTAATGGTTTTCATAGTCTTCATCCAGAATGGAAGAGAAATTAAAATTAGAATCATGGCATGTGTGATGCAAATATATTCTCACCAATGTTTTAATTTTAGTATACGTACAATCTGAGATGTGCTGGAAGTGTTTTAGTGACCTGGTAAATGTAGACCAGATGAGAGGGGAAGGTCACCTCACTTGTCTGCAGCTGAATAGGATAGCACTCACTCCTCCGTCTGGTAAATACAGCCTCATGTCTACTCAGAGGCAGTCCCTTTAGAAGTATGAACTCTTTGCAAGTTATGATCAGTATATCATTATGTTGAAACCCATTTGGGGGTTTCAAATGGAGCTGGGCCCGCCAAGATTTAACAGTTAGCTGACAGCACCTCAGTCTGAAGTCCTCTTCAGATAGTCTTAAAAGGGAAGCTGATGTTTAAAATTTTGGAGAACTAAAGTGCCGGGGAACTAAACTAAATACTTGCAACTTTGGAGTTTCATGTTTCCCCTTATTTCCAACTTCTGCATGGTTAGTCTGAGTGTTGGAAAAGAACCCTTGATGATTTCTTTTGAGAGTGCTGACTGGTGAGGAAACTGCTGCCCCTCCCCTGCACCAATGACAGCCTCTTTGCAAAAGGGAGAAGTGTGGATAATGGGTAACACCAAGCCTAGTCCTGTAAGAATTTCTCTTTAAGAATTCTCATCCTGGGACGCCTGGGTGGCTCAGTGGCTGAGTGTCTGCCTTTAGCTCAGGTCGTGATCCTGGGGTCCTGGGATTGAGTTCTGCATTGGGTTCCCTGCTCAGCGGGGAGCCTGCTTCTCCCTCTGCTTATGTCTCTATGCTCTCTCTCTCTCTCTCTCTCTCTCTCTCTCTCTCTGTCTCTCTCTCTCTGTCTCTGCATCTCATGAATAAATAAATAAAATCTTCAGAAAATTTTTTGGAGATAACTCCAGACATAAAAAAAATAGGAGATATGAGATAAGATATCTCATATCTTAGAGGATTCTTTTTTTTTCTTTTCTTTTTTTTTCCCTCCAATGTGGTACCCTCTGAAAAGGTTGAAAGTTTATCTTTTTGGTGGAGGAAATAACAAAAAGATGACTTTAGGGGTGCCTGAGTGGCTCAGTGGATTAAGCACCCGACTCTTGATTTGCTTTATCCCTCAGCACCTCCTGCCCCAAAATCACTTTACTGTGATCTAAGCTAGATCCAAGCTGGATAAATAGAAAACTGATTTTTGACACTTTTCTTGGAGAATTTCAAGCATACACAGAAGTATGGGTAGCTTGGTGAACTCCCTGCTGCTCCATGTCCCAGTCTTGTCTCTCCTCTTCCCCCATCTGTGAAGCACTCCCACATGATTTTAGGGTAAATCTCAGATATTCTCTTTTCACATCTGTCAGACTATATCTTTAAAACATAAGGATTCTTCTTTAAAATAATACTAATGAAAATAGTTTATGAAAGTCATATAAACAGATTAGAAAAAAATCAGAATATTACTGAATTCACCCATGGTCCTCGAGCCCAAATAACCATTGTTAACATTTTGATATATTTCTTTGCAGATGAGAAAAAAATTCTTTTAAGACCTTTTTCTACTTTCCCTGTCCTATGACCCAGACTTTGTGAACAAGTTTGAGATTATTAGCTTTATTACAGCTATGATGAGATAGATTATTAGAACCACTTTCTTTTTCTTTATTTTTTTTTAATAATTTTTATTTCTTTATTCATGAGAGACAGAGAGAGAGGCAGAGACACAGGCAGAGAGAGAAGCAGGCTCGTCACAGGGAGCCTGACGCAGGACTTGATCCCCAGATCGGGATCACACCCAGAGCCAAAGGCAGATGCTCAACCACTGAGCCACCCAGGAATCCCCCCACTTTCTTTTTCATAGAGAAAAAAAATCAATATAAGCAGAGTTTTAAAAGTATATCTATTATGGGATGGTTATGCTCTATAGAAGGAGCCATGGCAGCATTTTTTTTTAATGACACGTACTTTTTAATTTACAGAAATCTGGATTTTCAGAAACCTTGTTCTTTGAAAATATTCAGCAAGTATTACATAGTGCCTATCAAGTGCAGTGTGAGTTTGCCTATATGGAAACGGCATTGTTGATGACTAGCACATGCAATTTTAAGAACATTTTCAACCCTTTGTTTGGTGAGGTCCTCTTCTCTAAAGCAGCAAGGGGAATTTTCAAGGTTAATCTGAAACTTTTGGGCAGCCCGGGTGGCTCAGTGGTTTAGTGCCGCCTTCAGCCCAGGGTCCAATCCTGGAGACCCGGGATTGAGTCCCACGTTGGGCTCCCTGCATGGCGCCTGCTTCTCTCTCTGCCTGTGTCTCTGCCTCTCTCTCTGTGTCTCTCATGAATAAATAAATAAAATCTTTAAAAAAAATCTGAAACTTTTTTTCAATTCTTTTATTACTTATTTGTCTGGGGGAAGAAGACCCTTTCTATAGTGTCAGACATTTCAAAATTAATCTGAAGGGGCTTAAAATATAAATGTATTAGGTGAGGAATAGCAATTGATTAGATAAAATGGAAGAGAAAAGAAAGAACCTTACCGACATAAAAGAGAATCAGATTGATTTCCAGGCCAAGAACGATCCTGCTTCCCTTCACAGTCTCCATTTCTTGGGGTGTGCGTGTGCGGTGGTGGGCAGTAGGCATTTGAAGAGAGTGAGCTCTTTTTTTTCGGTCTCTTTAGAAAAGAAGAACTGAAGAGAGGAACTCTTATTAAGGAACCATAACCGGGAACTTTTTGAAATTGTGTAAAAGATTGTTTGTAACCCAGTTTCACCATTTAGAGTTGAGATTTTAGTGTAGGGCACATTTCTAAATGTTCATATGGTAAATTGTTTCTTGAATTTGTAGACATTTTGAGGGAGATTTTGATTTACATGTAGTCTGTATTCCCAGGAGAGAGTATTGTTTGACAGATAAATTGTTCCTTTAAATTTCCAGAGTATTTTGGTCACTGATCCTGGGGTACCTACTGTGTGCTCAGTGCTGGGCCAGTAACACTGGAAGCAGAAGGAAGTGTTTTCATGTAGAGAGAAGAGAAAAATTAATGAACAATACATCGTGGTATAATGAAGAAATGCTATGTGACATTAACTAGCTGTACCTCAGATTTGTGTAACCCCTTTCTAATGTGTCTTTGAGACCAAGAGTGGGCCCTCTGTTGAAGTTCCCTCCTCCTCCCTCTCCTGCCCCATAGAGGCCTCATCAGTCAGGTTCTTCCTTGGAAGCAGCAGAAATAGACTGGCTGATTTCAGTGAAAGGAAATTGAAAGGATTCAAGGGTAGCTCACACAGTCATGGGAGGATTGGAGAATCATGCGTCGGGTCTAGAGCCAAGAAAAAAACCTCAGAAAAACATGCTGTAAAACTGATCTGAAAAGTGTACTCTGGCTGCCGAGCACTAGGGACCATGGCACAGACTGCACTCTATTGTTCATAACACTTGATGCTGCCCCAGCTGCTTAGTATCATGGCCACTGCTCTGCCCTCCCAGAGAAGGAGCCTACGTCCCTCTTGTCTGGGTCACTAGGTCTTCAGTCTGTGTCCCAGGCGAGTGTTCCGAACTTAAGTCATGTGCCGGTGCCTTCACCATAGGAATAGAGGGGAAAGCTACTTCCCCAGGCTTTGACTGCCATAGGACTCTAGGAAGAGGGTTCAGGTGCCGGGTGTCTTTGTACTCTTGGCACATATTGATCATGCATTTTCTCACAGAAAGTTACTCTCTGTCTGAATTTAGTAATACATTTAATATGTGTGCATTTTTTAAAACATCACAGTATATACAAACAACCTAGAATTGACATATACCATTATCTGTGTGTGTCTGTGTGTCTGTAGCCAATGCTTGGTGTGAACCTGAAGACTTTATCCAGCCACCCCATCCCCACTCCTTAGGCATCTGATGCTCTCCTAGGCTTGCAAATGACCGAGACAGATTTCAACCACTAGTCCAAGAAATGCCAGGCCGACACATCCGTTCTAGTGCACGCTCTCTCTCTCTTTGGTTTTGGAGCTTAACTTGTATAAAAGTGTTATGAAAAGTTAGGGAGTAGCTCAACTTCACTTGAAAAACACATTGATGATCTGTCTTTATAAATTAAAAGCCTCTTAGTCTGTTTTCTGCCTGATATATCTTTCTAGTTAATACATTGCATGCATTTACTATATCTCGGGTGTATTTTCTTGCATTTATCCCTAACCTTTCTTTCACATTTTATGGGTAACTCTCTGCTTCCATATTCCTGTATTTAATGAGGAGTTCACTAAAACCATGAACTATTACAACCCATTTGGTCTAATGAAGGGTAATATCTGAAACTGTCAAAGATGGTAAAATGATAAGTTTTGGATCCAGACAAACCTGGGATTGCATTTCTGCTCTTACCCTCACTAACCTTGTAGGCTTGGGCGAATCCTCAGCCCTCTGGGTCCATATTTCATTTCTGTCCTCTTACCTCGGGGATATGAGGAAGATGATTCATCAAAGTGCCCGGTGCTTGGCACATACCAAGTCCTTGGCAAATGTTGTTCTTCCTCCCTTTTCTCTTTAAGGAACTTGTTTGTTCAAGAATTTAACTTAATGTTTCTATTTGTTTTAGTAGGTGGCAAGTGGGAGAAACCATCAGAAATTTTAGAAATCAAGGGACAGAATTGGGAAGAACAAGTGAATAGTCTGCCTGAAGTTTTCAGAAAAGCTGGTTTTGTTATTGAAGCTTTCACCAGACTACCATACCTGTGTGAAGGTGACATGTATAATGACTACTACGTTCTGGATGATGCTGTCTTTGTTCTCAAACCAGTATAGACACGTGGAGGCCCAAGTCTTCAGAGCCCACCCCAAGAATGTACACTCCAGAAGAGGGTCTGCGTTTGCGGTTATGTGAAGGGAGGACCTTTGGGGACTGCCATTCTAAATATCATGTAGGAATTTAAAAAGCCAAAATACTAATTACTTCTTTGTAGTGTGTAAAAGGAATGTTTTTAAAAAACAAAACCCAACTCTTTGAGGATTTTTATCAACTCTTTACTCAGTAATACAGGTCACACTCCAAGTATGGAAGATATTTTTTATACTTAATTGCGGTAGGGACTCATCCCCAGTCAAAGCAATAGTCACGACTTCACATGGAACCAATAAATATGGATTGTTTTTAATAAAATGAAGACTGGCAATAAAGCTGTCCATTCAGTTGCAAATATTTGGTTACAAGGTATAGCCACTGATACTCTTTCATGTTTAGAAATTCTGTCATTATTCAAAAAATGTTTTTAATCATGCTAATAAACTTTTTTGGAGATGACTCTGGCATCATGTTTGAGTTAATATAAGGCTCCCCTAGGATCTTTTATTGCTTTGGCTTCAAGAGTGCCCACATAGTAGCATTAGGTGAAATGTACAGTTGACTATGTGATAAAGGCTTCCGACTGGGTGAGGGGCTGGGGGATTATTGCAAATTGTGGTGAACACTGAGGCAGTCTAGACTAACCCTTGAAAGAGCAACCTCATTCAGATCTAATACTTCAGGGACCATCCCCCACTCCCATTTTATGTTGCTTTGGGAAGTGCAAAACACTGGCTTCTGACTTTGTGATAGCTTCCACACTAGACTCAGAATTCTGTTTTTCTGGATAATCTCAGGTTCTCATAATTTTTTTTATTCTTTTTTTATTTTTTATTTATGATAGTCACACACAGAGAGAGAGAGAGAGAGAGAGGCAAAGACACAGGGAGAGGGAGAAGCAGGCTCCATGCACCGGGAGCCCGATGTGGGATTCAATCCCATGTCTCCAGGATTGCGCCCTGGGCCAAAGGCAGGCGCTAAACCGCTGTGCCACCCAGGGATCCCTCAGGTTCTCATAATTGAACCATTCCGTTGTGTCTGCTGATAAAATGCAGCCTAAAAATGTTTTAATTCCCCTTCTTACTCTACACATGTATACCTCTTTCCCAGAACCTGGTTCGTCCCGAAATCCTTAACTGAGTTTATTTGCCAAGAATATGGATTGATGAAGACCATGTTAGACTCCTACATTCTAGAATCCTTGAGTGCCTCCAACCATATACCCACAAATGTTGCAATAGAGGAACTCATTAGCAAGATCAATAACCATTGTGCATATTCCAAAGAGAGCAGAGCACTTAACCCAGAATCTAAAATCTCAATAATAACAGAGACACGGATTTAAAATCGTGGTTATTAACAATATGTTATTCTCATGACTTTATTTCTTTTTTCAGCCAGGTGTTTCATTAAATATTCTCATTTATATGCTCATAGAAGTCATCAAGTCAACACATTTACTGCAACACCTGGGTATAAAGGAAAATTAAAGCCTTGAAAAGAGTTACTTTATTATTCATTAAGAACAGCATCCCCACATCCTCACACCAATATCTTCCACTATTATGTGTTGTCATAAGAAGAGTTTGGTTATGTGATTTATGCAAAATTGTTATTGGTGCATTCTAGTGCTTTTTTTCCGGGGATTCAAATACTTAGCACCCTAGATTATAAAAATAGAGGAAATGAGTAAACTTAATGTAGTTCTTTCACAGCTGAGTTTGTTTCTTTATAAATTGTCATAATCTTGCTGTTTAGACTGTTGAACAAGAGTGCAAGAGAGTGCAAGAGTAATGGATGTTCAAAGAGGCAGGTTGATGCAAAGTGTTTCATAATTTTGAAATCAAGAATGAATAGAATGGTCTGTTTAAAAAAAAAACACACCAAAAATCTCTCTTCTTACCCCCCCCCCAAAAAAAAGCCCCAGAAAATACATTCATTTATGCATTTCAGAGACACAAATAGTTTCTCAAAATCAGAGGTTCTCTGAAAACCAATATCTTAACAGTTCTGTTTTAGGATGAAAATTTGAACAACAAATCCTAGCACATTTGATACCTGGTCTTGAAAGTCTTTGTGACCTGTCGCCATTCCACTAGGTGGCAGTGTTGCTTACTGAGTGTCAATGGCTTTTTTTTTTTCCTAAATGGAATCCTGTTTTTTTTCCCCCAAAGTACAATAAAGTTGCCTTCTTGTCTGCACCATTCCTCGTGTAAGTGCTTCATATCAGGTTCAAGGTTGTGCTAGAGAAATTAAGAAGAGCTCTATTTGTGGACAAAGCAAGTTAACCTATTGATCTGGAAGGTCAGGGGCAGAGGAAAGGCAAGCTGCACCTGTGATTGACAGCTCCTTGCACCTGCAGTGTGAGCCCTTGAGTGTTAGGGCCACTGGTTACAGAGAAGAGGAGAGAAGGTAACAATACCTTCAGTCATTTCTCCCTTGTGCAGAGTAGTTAAAAGTGATGGTGTATTTTACCCTTCTGTATGTCTTACCAGTTTTTACTTAGTTGACCTTTTAACAGCAAAGAAGCTGGGCTGGGACAAAGTAAAACTTAGTTGTTTGAAGTCATCTTTCTGATTAAAGCTTTGTTTTCACTTAGATCTGAGGACAGTGTTTAAATAGACTCGTCCTGAAGATGTTTTCATCACTTGCTTCCTACTACTTGATTACTGATAGAAGTGTTTCATGATCCTTTTTTCTAATAACTACAGCACATATTCAACATGGATTTTCAGTGGCTGAAGTGATCCACCATGTTTGTGCAGACGGCCAAATCCCCCCAAATGAGCTTCCAGCAAGTGCCTCCATATTTCAGCTGGAAGACGATGCACCAAGTTGGGGCTATCTGATCTGACTTGCACTGCCTAGGCACCTTCTGAGCACACACTTGGGCTTGTAATTGGCCTGAAACAGGATGCTCACAAACTTAAAACCAACTTCTCCAAGATACAACCTCAGGAACTAGCAGAAGGAAGTTCACACTGTATCCATGCTAGGAAACATTTGTTTGTAATCTAAATGAAAATATGCACCCAGAATCATTAAGGAAATATTGCTGCAATATAAAATTCAACAGCTTGCTTTTTTGCAGTTAGTGGATGACGAGATGATAGGCAACAGTGAATGGCACAATAAAAATTAAAATTTCATAACTACTGTAGCTATGTATAGGCATTTATATTTTGCTGCTTCCTTTATCACTTCTAATGTATTTGTGTTGTCTTTGTCTTCTACTTAGGAATTAATTCAAACTTTTAAAGTTGTCATCTTTTAAAAATTTATTTAAAAATAAATAGAATGCTAGATTTAGAGAAATCTTGCAATGATAGTACAGAGTTCCTGTACACCTTTTACCTAGTTTCCCTAATGTTTTATGTAGCCATGGCATGTTTGTCAACACTAAGAAATTGGCACTGGTATATTAAGTAAACAATAGAGTGTTGGGATTTTAGGAGCCAATTCAGAATACCATATCCCATTAAGTTGCTTACTTTAAAAATTATTTGTGTTCACTGACATGGTACCATTATTTATCTTCCAATGTTTTAAGTTGTAAAATACACATAACAAAATGTACTATCTTAAACCATCTTTAGGGTACAGTTCAGTGGTCCATGTTTATTCATACTGTGCAGCCATCACCATCTATCCTTAAAACTCTTCATCTCATAAAACTGAAACTCTCTCATTAAATACTTCCCATTCCCCCTTCCTCTACCCCCTGAAAGCCACTCTTCTGCTTTCTATGAATTTGACTACTCTAGGTTCTTCATGTAAGTGGAATCATACAGTATTAGTCCTTTTGTGACTGGCTTATTTCACTTAGCATAATATTTTCAAGGTTCAAACATATGCAGGATGCCTGAGTGGCTCAGTTGGCTAAGCATTTTTCCTTTGGCTCAGGTCATGATCCCAGGGTCCTGGGATCAAACCCAGAGTGGGGCTCCTGGCTCAGCTGGGATCCTGCTTCTCTCTCTTCTTGCTTGTGCTGTCTCTATCTCTCTCAGATAAATAAAATCTTAAAAAAAATAGTTCATCCACGTGGTAACCTGTGTCAGAATTTCTTTTTTAAGGCAAAAAACAGTCCATGTGTATATACATATACACCACCAATGAATGCTTATCCATTCATCCATCAACAGACACTTGTGTTACATCCACCTTTTTGTTATTGTGGATAGTGCTGCTGTGAACATGGCTGTACAAATATGTAAGTCACTGCTTTTGCTTTTTTGAGAAAATTTTCAGTTCCAGTGTAGTTAGTATACAGTGTTAGACTAGTTTCAGGTGTACAATTTAGTGATTCAACACTTCCATATATGACTGCACTCGTCAGGATGAGCGCTTTCACTTTTTGTGGGTATACACTGAGAAGTGGAAGTGCTGGATCATATGGGAATAGTTTAATTTTTTTAGGAATTGCCATACTGTTTTCCACAGCAGCTGCAGCATTTACACTCCTAACAATATACAAAAGTTCTGATTCTTCACATTCTTGCAAATGCTTGTTCTTTTCTGTTTTTCTTCAGAGTAGCCATCCTAATGGATGCAAGGTGTTATTTCATTGTGGCTTTGATGGATTCTAGAACGATTTGTTTTTATAGCACAACTTGTATGGCATTGGGTTTCATTTACTAGTAATCTGTGCTTTGTGGCTTGCCATTTATATTGATACCACTGAATTGGAATCTGTGCTCACTGATACAAAGTACTTCTTTTTAAAAGCTATGAAATTTTATACTTTTGGAGAA